ACCTCTTGTAACTCCTTGTAGTTGTCATTGTGTGCTACTCTGTCCATTCAGTATGAGCCTTTAAAACTTAGGGGTATATATTCCTTTACTTACTCAACTGACTTGTTATCACTAATTCATATTTATGTAAAACATTGATTAGTCTTTTCCATTAAAAAATAATTGCAACCAAAGGTGTGGTGTGTCTCCTTTGCCAGATGGTTAACAAAACCTGCTGGGGCACGTTGCCTGGTGAAGCCCTGCTGGGATGGTGCTGCAGCTGCGCTCCCATCCTCGCACTGGAGTCCACTGGTTCTGCATTTCACCACTACCTGCAGCTGCCAGAGCCGGGGAACCCTGGCAAATGGGGAGCTCCTGGCACTGTCCTGCAGCACGAGACCCTGGACATGCACTGGTATGTCCGAATCACCTAGCCTTTACTCAGCTGCTGTAAGAAATACGGATTTAGACAAAACGTTGTTTCTTCTCACTCTTGAATATTTAAGGAGGATTTATAAATTTTAGTGGCCTTCAGTCCTTTCATGGCTGCAGCACAGCTATGGTCTGGCTGCACAATTGGAAGTTTGTTCCTCTCTGGCTCTTCTGCTCTCCTGGTTTTTGAACGTGGGCCTCCCTGCGTGTTTTCTTTGTCCTTTCGAGGATCTTCAATTCCTCTAAACAGGTGGATGTGACCTAGTCCAGGCTGCACTATAGCGTTAAGAGAATATTCTCATGGGCCAGCATGCAGCTGGCCCTGGCAGCCTTTCAACCACAATACCTTGACTTTCATGCATAGGCGTGTATACAGTTTGTACAAATGGACCAGAGGTTCTTTGTTAGAAGCAGCCACGTGCAGAACTGGATGTGTATCCTGAGTACAGCTTTCAAAGACAGGGAGAAAAAATACTTCAGGTCTTCCAAAGACAAGGAAGACAGCAGCAGAGATCTCCACTTGTGGCTTCTCAAACATCCTGAGACTTGTTTGAAGGGTCTGAGATGATCACATCGATGCCTTGTACTGAGGAGTGCTTCATTCACTTGTTCAGAGAAGAGTTCAAGAGTTCTTGTTCAGAGACAAGAGAACTTGTGTTCAGAGCAGAGCCACAAGGATGGTGAGGACTCTGGAGAACAAGCCTGATGAGGAGCGGCTGAGGGAACTGGGGTTGTTTAGCCTGGAGAAGAGAAGGCTGAGGGGAGACCTCATCACCACCTACAACTGCCTCAAGGGAGCTTGTAGAGAGGTGGGTGCTGGTCTCTTCTCCCAGGTGATGGGGGATAGAACAAGGGGAAACGGCACCAAGCTGTGCCAAGGGAGGTTCAGGTTAGAGGTAAGGAGGAAGTTCTTTCCTGAGAGGGTCGTCAGAAGCTGGCACAGGCTGCCCAGGGAGGTGGTGGAGTCACCATCCCTGGATGTGTTTAAGGAGCGGGTAGACGAGGTACTTAGGGATATGGTTTAGGGAGTAGACAGGAACGGTTGGACATGATGATCTCAGAGGGCTTTTCCAACCGAGCGATTCTGTGATTCTGTGAAATTCCATTTCTCTCCCACCCTGTGGAGCTGGAGCAGTTACCTCTCACTTCTCCTTTAGCTGAGTTTCTGTAACAAACGACTCCTCCTAACTTGCTCCTGTGCAAAACAACCAGAATGCTTTGTGGTCACATAGTGTGTGCACTGGTCAGTGTATGGAGCTGTTCTCACGGGGCAGGGAGAGAGGGGAACACAAGACTGGTATTAATGATGCTGTGAAAGTACCAAACAAGGCTGTAGTACCTTTTAGTGTCTGCAGTGGGTGCCTGACATTCAGCACAGGCCAATGCTCACAGAGTACACAAAGGTCCACTTAAACATACCAATTTCCTAACTATCTAGAATTTATTATGCACAGGGGTAACCTGCTGTTAAAGCATAAAAGATTTCCACCCCCTTTCCCTTTCTCATTCCCAGATTAGGTCAGAGGAAACAAGCTATGAATACTGGATCATATTTATGCCCTAACATACATTTCCTGCCTGTTTTCAGAAGCAGATTCTGCTTCAAGGAGAAGCTGGAGATTCCTACTATGACTAATGATTTTTTAACAAATTCCCCCAGCTGTAAGAGAAGTCACCTGCTGACAGGGAAGGGTGAAATCGCCTTTCTATGCAAAAGCAGCTTTACAGAATTCAAAACGCTTTCATCATACCCATCCACTCAGATTCCCTCTCTGGTCAGCAAAACTAGACACCACATCTGGCACTGCAGGGGGATAAACCACCACTCCTCAGGACGGCCAAGGTCTCCTATGCCCACAGTTCTTAATACTGCATAGCGGCCTCTGGCTTTGCTAAAACCTGTCTGTAACTTGATTTTACTTCCTTTTATTCCTATTGAACTAGGATATACTTTTGGTCACAGCTTCAAGTAGCAACTTTATACCAATTGTTTGCCATTAAATTGTGAATACACTAAGTCCTAACATAGTAAATCATAAAGATGTTTTCTGTATTCCATACTTAAAATTCACCTCCCTCACTGCTGCCTCCATGCTGGTTGTATTTTATAGTGCAAACTGTGGATCACTCCATATAGAAACAGTTTATGGACCAAGTATTTTAACAGCCCTAGAAACTCAGCTATTTCAGAAAAATGCACTCAGCTTTTCCCCTGAGGCAAGCGCTTCCAGGAGATTTGGTGTTTCTGAAGAACAGATACCATGCAAAGTTGCCTCAAGAATCAGCCTAGCCTTAAGATTGTGGCAACTTGGAACTTACAAAAGCTTGTTCCTACATTATCTCCAGTGCACCTAAAGGAGGAAAGACATTTGTTAAGCTTTGGTTTTCCCGCTTCAATTAGGGGCAGAGAGCTCCTGGGTCACATTAATGACCTATTAGAGAGCAGCACAGGGCAAAGCGACCTGGGGGTCCTGGTGGCCAGCAGGATAACCATGAGCCAGCACTGTGCCCTTGTGGCCAAGAAGGCCAACGCCATCCTGGGGTGTATCAGGAGGGGTGGTTGTAGGGCAGAGAGGTTCTCCTCCCCCTCTACTCTGCCCTGGTGAGACCGCATCTGGAATATTGTGTCCAGTTCTGGGCCCCTCAGTTCAAGAAGGACAGGAACTGCTGGAGAGAGTCCAGCGTAGGGCTACAAAGATGATCAAGGGAGTGGAGCATCTCCCTTATGAGGAGCAGCTGAGGGAGCTGGGTCTCTTTAGTTTGCAGAAGAGGAGACTGAGGGGAGACCTCATTCATGTTTATAAATATTTAAAGGGTGAGTGTCACGAGGATGGAGCCAGGCTCTTCTCGGTGACAAACAATGATAGGACAAGGGGTAACGGACACAAACTGGAACACAGGAGGTTCCACTGAAATTTGAGAAGAAACTTCTTCTCAGTGAGGGTAACAGAGCACTGGACCAGGCTGCCCAGAGAGGTTGTGGAGTCCCCTTCTCTGCAGACATTCAAAACCCGCCTGGACGCCTTCCTGTGCAACCTCATCTGGGTGTTCCTGCTCCGGCAGGGGGATTGGACTGGATGATCTTTTGAGGTCCCTTCCAATCCCTAACGTTCTGGGATTCTGTGATTTCAGTTCTAAAAACATCTCTAGCAAAACTAAGAAACACATTGCAAGGCTCCTGACACTTAAAAAGCAACCCATCCCACCCCAGCCCCCATACTGCCCATCAGTCCTACATCCAGTGTTGTCAAGTGCGCGGCAGTGCAGTCCTATTAATGGTGACCAAGAAACACAGGTGGGGAGGAACTCACTAATACCAATGGGGAGAGAAAAAACAGCTATGGAGGAAAGCACACGTTTTCCTCATGTCCCACCCATCAACACTGCACAGCTGGTGCAGCCTGTGAGTAGGAGTTTCTCTGGTGTTACAGCCCTCAAGAAATGCATGCTGGAAGGCCCAGCTCTGACACCACAGCAGTAACTCACAGTGGAACCTAAGGCTTAACAAGAAACAGCATTTACAAAGTGGGTGAGACAACCACATTTTCTTGCCTTCATGCTACACAGAGTTAAGTGCTGGCATAAAGCATCTGCTTCAACCTGGTACCCAGGCAAGGCTAATTGAGTCAAACTGTGAACCCTGACAGCTGGAGCACTTCCTCTGTAAAAAGCTACTCTCAGGACATGCCTCCACTCAGTGAGGCTTCTCAAGAAAGCTGAATGCCTTCTTGGAGGAAGGCAAGAGTTACCACCTTTTTTTGGTGTTACTTTTATTTTCTTGAGTGCAACAT